AGGCATAGGTGGGCAGATAATGAGATCAGGAGATTGAGAGCATCCTGGCTAACACGGTGAAACCCTGTCTCTACTAAAAATACAAAAAATTACCTGGGCATGGTGGCATGCACCTGTAGTCCTAGCTACTCTGGAGGCTGAGGCAGGAGAATCACTTGAACCCAGGAGGCAGAGGTTGCAGTGAGCCGAGATTACACCACTACTACACTCTAGCCTAGGTGACAGAGCAAGACTCCCTCTCCAAAAAAAAAAAAAAAATAGTAAGACAAAAAATGGAGAAAAATAATTCAACTGACTGAGAAGAAAAGAGCCTTTTTCCAGAAAAGCTTTTAATTACACCTATAACTTGAATATCTGCTTTTAATTAAACTGACCACTCTTTAAGAACATATTTTTAAATTCCTTGTTACTTGACTTTAGCCATGCCAAGCAGTTAAGATTTTGGGCTTTTGAACCTTACAAAAAGTAACCTCACAGGTGAAACTGACCAGCCTTAATCAGGTTATGATTTAATCAGGAGTGCACAAGGCATTTTTTAAGGGGTGATAGGCAGCTATTGAAACTATCATTGCAAAACTGTAACTGAGACACCCAAAGAGATCCAACCTAAAGAGATCCAACCCAAACAACTCCGTTTTGTTTCCAGCCCCCAAGCTGTTCTTGCCCATCGCTGGGCATAAGTTGAGCCAACTTTGTCAGGAGCCTGGTTTGCAGCTTATAGTTTAAAACAAAGATGATAACAGCCCCTTCTGAAGATATACTTCCTTCTTGCCTGGGGACCAGACCAAGAAACTAGCCATAAGATTAGAAGCCATGGCTTAGGGGTCATGCAGCTGGAGGCTACAAGATTTTTCCTCTCCGTAAACTGCTGTAAAGATCAGTGCTTAAGATAGTTTGTAAACCCTGCTCTTGATGGATTAGCTGGCACCACCCTGATTGACAAACTGGTTTATCTGACTTGGTAACCCTCACCCAGTAACTGACTTAGCACAAGAAGACAGCCACCATTGTAAAATGAAACAAAGTATTGCCACGAGCTTACAGGTTATGTTCCCAAGGACATTAAACAAGATGGAGGTCTGTAGCCAAGTTTGTTACTGACCATTTTGTTGGGCTGGCTTTAACAGCAGGCTTACGAGGTCCTGGGCCTGAATCCTAACCTAAGATATCCTTTCTTTGACGGAACCATCCAGAAAGACATGTAAAGCACATCAGATTGTCTACAGCTTAAGACCAACCTCACAAATCCTTTTTCATTAATTATAAATTTACAGAGAATATAAACTGTGATCTTTATTATCCCTTTTACTGGTTTGCACAGGGAGAGAGAAGCCAAAAGCCCAACTGGTAAGAAATTTTTACCCTTTTGCTAGCCTATCAGGCTTCTGAGTTTCCTTCCCCCAGCTCAACTCTAAGCAAAGCATTTTAAGGTGTAGAAAATTAACCTTTCCCAGGTTGGAAGAACATTATGAAAGAGATAGAATCCATTTTAAACTGCAAAAGAAGAAACAACGCCTTAGAAAGGAGTTCCAGTTAGGGTTGTCAAGAGCTATTAGCTCTTCCTATTGGGAATGGTGTTTCCCCTATTTCTTTGCCTTCCTTATTTCTTGTTCCCCTTTTGGCTTACTAGAGGAGACACATTGCTCATCTCCAAAATTCTCTTCTACTTGCAGAGATGCCTGTTTTAGCTATAGTTAGGGTTTGGTTTAGGAGCAGCATAACATTCCTCTATGAGAGGTCAAATACCTGAGTTAAATTTTAAGCTTCTGTATACCTCTCAGCGTTGTCAGAAAATCAGCCTAAGACTCCTTTTATTTGTCTAAGGTTCTGCAATGAGAAAGGAACTTGAAGGGGCCCCAGATAAGGGGGACCCTCAGATGGTTCCCCTGGAACTTGTTTCTTTAATTTGGGGGAATTAAAAAGGCCATTCCCTTGTGCAAAAGAAAATAAGCCATTTTTTCTTCGAAGTTTCAGGGTTGAAGGAGTCCCAGTGCTTTAAAATACACTCCAGGGGAGTGCATGTTAAAAGACAGTTTGTTACCCATCTAGAAAGAGAAATGAGAACAAAAGCATCCTTTTAGTCTCCTTCCTTTCGGTATGTGATCCAGATGTAGACAAAATAGTAGAGGGCATCCCCCCCAGCTATATTCTCTCTGGGGTTCCTGGATTCCTGGCACGCATTTAAATGTACCACCCATGACCGCATGCGTGACCCTCCAATCGATAGCACTAGAGGAACTAAACTTTTGGGCCTTAGTCGTGCCGTCCCCAAGCTGTCTTAGTCCTCTGCCTTTTATTTCCCTTTGACCTCCTAGACTTTTGTGGCCTGTGTGCCTTCCTAAATGGATAGCAAGAAAAATCACATAATTGGGCAAGGCTCCTTTAAGGGAGGGGTCATGCTAGATTGAGCTCTATATCCTGCTATTATAGCAGGTGCTAAAGCATTTACCCATTGAAAAATGGTTCCGGTTAACTTCCGGACTTAAAATGCCCTCACTAACTTGAACAGGGCTGAGGGGTGAAAAAAAAAATTAGGAAAACCCCCTCACTAATTAAGTACTGTCTTAATGGGAGACGGAATAGATACCTTAAATGAATATAGGAATTGAATGGCCATTTTCCTGCCAGTGGGACAATATCGAGACTAAAATTTGGCTACAGAAGACATCTTACTCTTAACTGTTAAAACCAGAGCTTTCCCGTCCACAGAAGTAGCAGTAGAAAAGTGCAAAATGGAAAAGTTGTGAAGCTGCAATGTGTCTCATGAAGAGGATTTTTATTTCCAGTAGGTGGCTTAGAAACAACATGTGCTCACCTGAGAAACCATAGAAACAGAGACGTTTATTGAGTTACTACTGCCTGCTGCGATTCTTTTCCAGCAGACCTGTGTCCCTGAACTGTAAAGATTCCTGCACATTAGACACACACAGAGAGAGTAAGAGACTACAGATAGAAAGAGGAAGTTTGGCAACAGTGTAGCTGGAAGAGAGCCTTGAGATTAAAGGACAGATTTTAAAGTTGAGATCCACTCCATAGTCACCAGTCTGATGAATGAATTTCGTTTCCAGGCCCTTGCAACAAAATGATTTGGCCCTGAGAAGTAGAGGAACACCAGGTTCTTCGTTTCATGTCAAATTGGAGAAACAACACAGACACACATGAAGTGGTGATAAGGAGCTGAGAATTTAATAGGTAAGAAAGAAGGGAGAAAAAAGGAAGAAGCTCCCCTGTAAAGAGACAGAGGGAGGAGGCATGAGAGCTAAGAGAGGTGACCCCAAGTGAGGCGGAAACCAGCCAGGTATGTGTAGAGGCTGGTGGTGTCAGTGTCTCATTTGAATGGGGCTCAGGTGATTGGTTTGACTAGGCATGTCATTCACATAACCCATGAAAAACTGGCCCTCCCCCCCAGCCTTTTAATATGCAAATGTAGGGCACCATGATGTTCTACACACGTGGAGATATGTGGGGGCAGCCGTGTTGCCAGACACACGTTGGACAGCAGTGGGAATCACCATTTTGGGTGGCCTAGTTTCTAAAGGCTTGCATTTGCATATTAAAGGTTGCTGGCCCAGTGTTAAGAGCCAGAGCTTTCCAGCTAGACAAGAAACGTTTCTGGAGCTGCCTTAAAAGAAACAAAAAGGTTCCAAAGACCGCTTTTCCTCTCTATCTGCCTAAAATAATTTCTTAATAACTCCTATCACATAGCTTTTCAGATGAAAATGTAAAGTCAAAGGTCAGCAGAAGGGCTTAATAATACAAGTTAGGCAGTATAGTATTTTACTTACAGTGTGATATTGTGCCAGAATTGCTAGCCTTTGCTTACCGGTAATAACTAAAATAAGCAGCCCAGGATAACTAAGATCTGTGTGTAAACAAATGCTTATCTTGACTTCCATAAACCACTGAAGTAACAAACAGAATGACAAAAGTCCCCTGGCCCTTGGAATGTCCAGAGACCCCCACCCTCGTCTCCGCCCAGGAGGTGAATTACAGAATCCCCTGACCCTTGGAATGTCTGAAACCTTTTCATCCCCATCCCCGCTCCTCACCCCCACTCCCAAGGTGGTTTTTCGGGTATAAAAAGTCTTGGTACCCTCCTTACGATGCCACAGGTTGGAGAGCCGTGAGTCCTCTGTGGTCGCTGGCATAATAAATGACCCTGCAATCTGGCATACTTTTGTCTTGGTGCTAACTTTCTACGCTCGATCTAGTACAACAACAGTATATACAATATTTCCCATTACAACTGATGTAATCGAAAAAAAAAATTTTGGCTTTCTTGCAATTAAAAAGTCACAAGTGAAGTTGCAGTGAGCCTAGACTGAGCCACTGCCCTCCAGCCCCAGGGCAAGACTGTCTCCAAAACAGAAGTCACAGGGATTGCATATTTATTAACCAAATTGCCAATGACCTACTCCATTCTGGAAAATAAAGAACATGGGATTTTTTTTCTTGTGATGAGAAATTTTAATTCTAAAAAAGGCCAATTCCCACTTGGTTTTTAGTCCTCTTTTAAAAGATACTTCTTCAAAATCCCAAGAAATAAAAAAAATTTGCTAAAGATCCAGCTAACTAAAAGTCCTACTGTGTATCTTTACACTGCCTGCTTGCCCTTCTTTTCTTGGTGACCTAGCTATATGTGTTTTGCCCATTTTTGTGGGGTATAGAGAAGTTTGGTCTTTGAATTTTTAAGTACTCTCTAAATAATAAAGCAATGACCCTTTGTGATGTAAGTCGCATTTTTTTCTTGCACTTTATCAATTGATTTTGCCTATGCTGGGTTTTTTTCCTGTCTTGCAGGATTTTAAATGGAAATTCAAGTTCATGTCTATCTCACTCCTTATATCACTGTCAAAGTAAATGTGGCAGAATTCACCTTTAAAGCAACTATTAAACAGAATTACACAGACATGAGCAGTAGTCATATATAAAGCTCTCCTTAATGAGCTGATTCCAAATTATAAATATTTAAAAAAAGAAAAACAACCAACTTGTAAACCAGAAATTCCAGGCAACATATTATTCCTTTAAGTAATCCAAACTATTTTCTATATCCTAAATGCAGTCTTTTCCCCTGAGTAGATAGTGTGTGCTTTTAGCAAGAGGCAGAAGGGTGAGGATTTCACAGTGATGTACACAAAGAGGGAGGAGATTTGCTAGGTCCTGGGGAAGCTGCAGCATCTTCAAGTGCACATGTCTGCATCTCTGTGAAGTCACTTCAAAGACTTTATGAAGCTCAGATCTTATTCTGTTGAAATCAATTGGCTCCTTTCCAACCCAACATTTTATTTGATACATTCTTCAGCTTTATGGTACTTTGTCAAGGAAGGACACTGAAATAACAGGATGTTTTCATTTAGTTAACAGTATGGTCGACAATTGAATTACCCAGACTTTATAGACTGATAATCATGATGCTAGCATTCCATATAAATTGGACAATGTCATTGGAAGTGGTTATTGTCCTCTATGATGGCTGCCATGTAGGGCATAAGAAAGTATGGCGTAAATGGAGACATTGAATAGATAAGAGAGAGATTAATAAGTAACTTGACCTTTTCCCTTTCTAATTTTGTCCAAAGAAAAAGTGTTCTCAGAGTTGTGCTACTAAATAAAGAAATAAGGAGCCTCATTCCATTCTAGAAAATGTACAGGTCACTCATAACACAAGAAGTGTTTTTTTGAGTCTCTTTTTCTAAACCATGGTGGTAGCAGGGGCAGAAATAGGAACTTTTTTTGGAGGGGTCATCTTGGAGGGGGTCAGCTTCAGAAAACTGTCCTCCTCTTCTAATACAGTAAAGAATGAGCTACAGTAGTGGATTTGGTACAAGTGCTTCCCCAGTCATACAGGAGCCTCTCCTTTTAAGGCCAGGAATGGTGTCCATCCACCAATGGACAGACCTCCTGATGAGGCCCTCCAGCTCATTTGCTTCTCAGTTATTACTGCCACCAGATTCTTCATCATCATTCTCCTTTCATTTCACTGGACTTCCCAGCATCACCTGTTACCTGTATTTCTCCAAACACTCTCATGTCCAAAACACAGCTATGTCTTTGAGCCTGCCTCTTTACTCTGTCCCAGAAGCTGGGTGCACAGGTCTTAACGCTTGGCACAGATTCTAACTCACATCTCGTCTACCGTATTTTGACTCAGATGATTCACTTTGTTCCAGTGGAACACTGTGGTCCAAATTCCAATCTTAAAAGGGAAAGTTGAAACAAAATTTTTAAGGACTTTCTACCTACTAAAATGTGATCAGTCGTCAGTGCACACAACTTGAGGTGTACTCTGATGTAAAAGAGTATTTCCAAAAAGATGAGGGTAAATGAAATTTTCACAAATTCATTTCTCAAATGATTGACATGCTTACTTGATTATTGAACATTTCTCATTTGCTTATACTCAGAGATTTGGGGAGATTTTAAAGAAATGTCTATTCAACAGAAGGTAATTTAACATGGGAAAGAAAACACACATAAGCACAATGTATGGTACATGTAAGTGGATAAGAATGTGTGAACAGTAAATAAGCAAGTAAATGAATGCGATAGAGTTAACAGGCAAGCAACACATGAAATGTCAATTATTATAGGTTATGTACTGTTGCAATGATGATAGAAATGTTTGTCATTTGGTGAAAAAAAGCAGGATTTAATATGTGCAATCAATATAATCTCAAGATGTACATGCAAATGTAAAATAATATACAAAGAAGCTTAAGTATACTACTAGGTAGAGGTTATTGCAGGTAATTTTTACATTCATTTGTATTTTTTCCTAAAGAGAGACATCATTTTGGACTAGAGCATCTTGGTTGAGTGAATTCCAAGCTGGGTTAATGGAATATAGATAAAAACAAAGGTGAAAAAGACATATGAGATCAAGTATGATATCATTTAAGCAGATGTGCTTATTAAATTCAGTCTTAGTTCAATGGACTGAATGTTTGTATCCTTCCAGATTTATATGTTGAAAATTTATAGGATCTATGATGACAGCAGAACCCTTATGGATGGGAGAAAAGAGACTCCCAACAGCTCCCTTACTCCTTTTCTCTGATGTGAGGATACAAAGAGATTGAAGTCTATTAACTAGATAAAGTGAGCCTCACCAGACACTGAATTTGCAGTTGCCTTGATCTTGGACTCTCTACCCACCAGAACTATAAGAAATAAATGCTTGGTTTTTAGAAATTAAATGAGGATGATTGTTGATTTAAGTCCAGCTGTATTTTTATTCTTTTAGGAGGCAGAATCTTTTTGAAGAGACAGGTTCTTGCCATATTTCCCTGGCTGGCCTCAAACTCATGGCTCAAGCATTCCTCCTGCTTCAGCCTCCTGAGTATCTGGGACTATAGGCAGGTACCACTGCACCCAGCTTAAATGCTTATTGAGACTGCCCAGTCTATGGAGTCTTTGTTATAGCTTCCCAACTATATATACCAACAGACTAAGACAGTTGGTATATTAGAACAAGGAGCAGCCTTGAAACCTGCAGTAAGTTTACGACAAGTTAAAGATGCACTATGTAACTTGGTAGAGAATTATGGCAGAAATTTCCCCTTG